GTGTTCAGAATACAGGAAATGAAAGTCTCATACCCCTTCATGATCATACGATCAATTCCCATAGTTGAAATAATATTGGAGAGATAGCCATGTCGTTCACCAATTAATACAATAGTCCGATCGTCTAAAGTCTTCAGAGTAGCTCGCTTGTATTCGTAATCCAGATTTACCTTGTGTTTATTCAACCAATCCATCCCAAGAATTAGATCGAACCCCTCTAAAGGAAGCTCCATAAGATCAGCGAGAAAAATTTCTCCCTGAACCTTCAGAGGACAACGCTGAAATACTTTATTCACTAATACTGTCTGTCCTACTAGACTCGTAACCGTAATAGTATTATCAGTGTTCTCGATCGAAATCTGAAGGTTTCGAGATACTGAGCTCGATACATAGGAGTGGGTGGAGCCATTGTCCAGTAATGCAAAGTATGGAATAGAATAAATAGTAAATGTACCTGCAATAACCTCAGGCTCATCTCTGTCATCTCGACGTCTAGTGGCGTAAACCAAAGCTAGCTGTCTAGCCTCAGAAACTATTGGTCCTCTATTCTGCTGAGGTCGGGCTCTACTGTCTGTCCTGGACGCTGAACCACGAGCCTTTACTTGGCTACGATCTCTAATTGGAGTCTGTACTGTAGTCTGTGAACGCACAAGAGTCTGGGTAGCGGTCCGCTTAGACGAAGCTAGCTGAGGACAATCCCTCCGAAAATGACCACTAGATCCACAATGAAAACATGCTCCGGTCTTCCTATAACACTCTCCCGTGTGTCGTTTACCACAAAAGTCACAATGAGGCACTTGAAACGCGACCGAATAACCACCTCTACTAACAGCTGAAGGTGATGATGCTGCATGCCTGAAGCGTGTATTACTCCTCTGAGGGGCTGAAGTACGAGTCCTCTTACCGGACTGTGCGGATGATTCAGTAGGGCCAAAAGGTTTCCTAGATCGCTCCTGATCAACACGCTCTCTACCAGAAGCTAAAGCCTCCATCTCCTCAGCATCCTTGGCTCTGCTCACCAGCACATCAAAAATCTCATCTTGAAGGGCTACCACCTGCCTACGTAGCTCGTATCTGAGTCTGAGGGCAAATTTACGGAATCGATCTCTCTCGGTAGGCACTAGACTGAGTTCATGCTTTAACAATGTTAAGAACTCTATCTCATACTTTGAAACAGTCATATCACCTTAAACCAAGTCTTGAAACTACTGTCGTCTCTGGACTAAGTAACGCTCCCCCAGGAATCGGCTCCGAAAGCGTTCCTTAAAGAAATCCCATGTCAAACGATCGGTAGGAACACTACTGGTCACTGACTCCCACCAGGTGTGGGCATTGCCATCTAACATCGCTACTGCCCCTAAATATCTCTTAGTTGGGTCCAAACCCAACTGATCCATGCATATTTCTCTATCTTGAAGCCAATCTTCTGCTTCAGTGGGAATTCCTCCAAGCTGTCCTCTAAAAGTCTTGACCCCATTGGTGATTAGAGTTTGAGAAATAGGCACCTCAGATACAACACCAGCAGCTCTGACCGCTCCCTGAATTAACTGTAGAAATTGTCAACAAAAATTCTCATCAAGTGCAACTCTGGTAGAATCAGGCTCAATATCAGTCGCTCCTATGATCGGTGTAGTCATGCCAATACCAGCGGCAAGAGGCAAATTCGTCGGGGTCGCAGGAGCAGGATCACCTGTCGGAGGTGGGGGATCTACCCGAATCTCGTCGATCGGGTCTGCAAATCTAGCCACTCGACCTCGCCCTCGGCTAGTTCGATGTCCACGTCTAGCACTCATTTTTTGTAGATCTCTAGTTTACTACAGAAGATAAAACTTAGGGTTAGATAAGCACTTGGAGTCTCGAACACAATTAAAATCGTAAAAACTTTGAGGCATGGCCTTAGCAACAGGTTTTGTAAAATATTTCAAAACCGTAATTTCAATTTAGACTCATACACAGTCCGAGGTTTAAAAACCAAAAGCTCTGATACCAATAAATGTAACCCCCTAGACTCGGTCTATGCGTTTCGACTAAGTCTAGTGAATCACATTCATGATTCTTAAAGATATTATTCCGAAACCATTATTCAATCATAGTAAAATCACATTATAAATGACGTTTATGAAATTATAATAATTTATACTATAAAAATACAACTCATAAATATAATGAAAAAAACAAATTAATTTAAACTTGTCTTAAAAATCCAAATTTTCGATAAACCAAATGTAAGTAGCAAAGAAGTAATCTTTATAAAATCCAATACTTTAAAATAAGACACATGTTACCAAAATAGAGTCAACTTAAAAGATAAAACATTACAATAAGATATACTTCAAGAGATATGTTGATCCTCCAAGTGCTCAATCAGGTGAATCTAACAAACAGTAACTGAAAGGGGAAAACATTTTCGAAAAGTGAGCTAGGCTCAGTGTGTCCCAACATTACTATAAAATCAAGATAGGTACACTAAACAAAATCATAGTCCAGTAAATCTCATAAAAATTGTACTGCAGTAAATCTCATAAAAGAGTTACCCTAAGGGAACATCTTAGGGCCTGAGAGCCTACCCAAGATAGATTTCGAGGTCGTAGGGCCTACCTAAGAACACATCTTAGGGCCGCAGGGCCTACCCGAGAATGATCTCAGGGCCGTAGAGCCTACCTAAGAGTCACATTAGGTCCGTAAAATTTTACAGCTTGATCAGAGCTGTACTTTATAAATTTGTATTCCAAAAATTCAATTGCACCGTGACATAAATTCCATAAATCCATAAACATGGTAATCATATACCATTTCAAAACAAAATCAGATAGCGGTCATAATCCATAAACCATCACATTAAATCGGTGCATCAATAAAACAGTAACCAAAGAATTCAGTGTATCACTTATTAAAACAAATAAAACAGTTCAGTAATAAATAGGGAATACACCTCGATAATAGGTTCAAGTAGTAGATCTACTGATTGCTGGTCTCACCACGTTCTGCTATAGTTTTCGAACCTAATTTATAATAACACTATATTACTAATGGGTAACATAATTAATCTCTAAAATCATAAAACTTACGGATCTTACGGGTGAATACTGGCACACGTGGTTTAACTGATCTAAAAGAGCTGGATCGAGCTGTAGAACGATCCGGAGAGTCTCTTGTACCTTCAAACAATAATAATTTATCAGCCCCAAGTCTTACTTAATTGTTCAAAGCTAAATTCTTAAGTATATAAGCATTTTTCAGGTTTGACTATCAATTTGGAGGATTTCGAGTCTGAATTTGACCAAACGGATTGCGGTATCGAAATCAGGACGTAGAAAAACATAAAGTATGACTTTTTGAAAATTCAAATTCTTGGTCAAAATCAAAGTCAACGGGTTTGACTGATGATTTGGATGCCTTCGGTTTCGAATTTGGCAAAACGGACTTCGTAAACGGATTCCACACGTTGAAAAATGTCAGAATAGGTATACTCGAACAAAATCAAAGGTCGTTTAATGGCCGTTTAAAGCCGGTCAAAGTTGTGGTCAAAGGGGTTCAATGGTCCACATTCGAAAATCCCCAAAATTTTACTTTTTTCAAAATAATTCCCAAATTGTCATTTTTTCACATAAATTCTCAGAATATCACCTTTTTTCCAAAAAATTCCCCGAATGTCACTTTTTTTCAAAAAAATTCCTAAATGTTGCCTTTTTTCACAAAAATTCCCATAATGTCACATTTTTCACAAAAATTCCCAGAATATCACTAGGTCAGATCGGTCAACGGATCGGGTCGGGTCAGACCGGTTTGGACCAGTCAAGCCGGTCAACATGAAATCAACTAGTTCGAAGCTCCCCACGCTCAGGGGCGGTGCGTGGTGGCGCGTGAGGCGTCGTCCGGTCTCCAATAATTCATGAAAAAAATTCTAAAAATTCTTTTAAGCGATTTTGAGTCACTTACCAACCTCGGTTCAAATTTTTGAATGGTGGAGAGCTCGATTTCAACTTGGTCGAATCTTTAACCGCTCCACCTCCCACACGCGCCGCCGCCTACGGAGACAAGGACGACACCGTCGGAATCAGAACGACACCAGGAACACGATGGTGCGGGAGGTGTCGAAAACCGATCAATGATCGGAGATGAATTTAAGATTTTCCCGGCGGTGGTGATAAAAAAAGTCGATACTTTGATTCAAAATTCACGGCGTTTAACAGCGTTTCGCTAAAATTGGTTTATTGGGTTTTGATCACAGGTCGAAGATGAACACGATAGTGGTTTCAATTTAACGATCAGAGGTCGGACGGCGTCGGAATCAGGCTTTGAAGTAGAGTGCACGGGATGAGGAAATTTTATAAATTGCTTGTGGTTTTTTATTTTGAAATCTGAAAACACGTTTGGTTTATAACCAAACCTGTCGACACTTATTGGAGGAATTCAGGGCTTGATCCCTGAATTTCATTCAACTTCTAAAATGTCCTATAAATTTTCATAAATTTTAATTTAGCCACTAAATTTCACCAAATTACACCGATTTAATAATTTTTTTTTTCTCAGGTTGTTACACCAATATTATGGTATGTGTTAGAAAAATCACATCTTAACTACAATTTACAGACGAAGTTTCATTAGGAGTCAATTCTTTCTTTGCTTAATGATTTCCGAAAGTTGATTATTGTTCTAGAGCCATTAGGAGAGGACTAGATCAGGGTCATGCAAACGAATATCTGTAGCAAAGGAAGTTCTTGGTGCTATCTAATGGTTCTTTCATGTCGTCTTCTGCTTCTTCCTCTGTTTGTAAATGATTTGCAATTTTTCTTTTGACATCACCTATCCATTTGTTTAGTTTTTCTTTTACTTGGTTGGCTCTGATAACCGATTTTAGCTGGCATCAACTAGTAGATCTAAGTAATGAATTTTTGGTGGTTTTGTTTCAGGCTTCAAGTGCTTTTATCTCATTTCTCGTCTTGCCACTTTTACTTAACTCTTTTTCTTTTGGATTTACCAGGCGCTTTTTGCAGCTGATATACGCGACCCTGAAATATCTTCCCTTGTTGCAGCTAAATTGAGAGAGTTCCACAATCTTGACATGCCTGGTCCGAAGAATGTACTTCTCTGGGAGCGATTGAGGTACTAATATGCATTTATCATGTTAGTGCTTTTATCTTTTGAGTTGAAGGTATCTTATCCCATTTCGCTTCTACAAAGGACTTGGCTTAGTCATGCAAAGAAGATCTGTTCCCTGAGAACTGCTAAAGAATTCAGCTTGGACATTCTCGGGGAGGAAATCAGCATCCTTGAGAAAGAGTTAACACAAGGGTGTCAAGATATTGGGTTTTGTCACAATGATTTGCAATATGGTAACATAATGATGGATGAAGAGACGAGAGCAATTACCCTAATCGTAAGTTTTCAATACAGTTATTATTAGTCGCAAATATGGCTTTTATACAGTGCTTTCAGTTCTAGACTTGACTCTAGCATTTTTCTTTAGATCAACTTCCTTTGAAATAGTTAGTTAAACATGCCTTTGCAACTATTTCTCCAATCCGCGTATCCGAAAGCTGTTTTGTTCAACTAAAACTCTTGCACTCTTTAAGTTAGTAATGGAAAATTTGTTCATCTGCAAAATGCTCTGGGAGTATACTAATGGTCGGCCAAATCAGAATGAGTCAATTGAGCTGTTTATCTGCTTCTTTAACTTCTTGTTTCATCACTTATTGTTCATATCAGTATAACAAGTTAATATATGTACGAATACCAAAAAAAAAATTAATATATGTACGCATGCATTATATACATCTTGAAATATTGTTTACTTCTAGATTTTTGTAAACAAATTGCAGATGAGGTCTGTATGGCGACTCATTTATAAGAAATTGAAGCTGAAGCTTGAACTTCACTGAGTATGTAAGAAGCCAAGGGAGTGGGTCAGCCTTTTTCCCTATGTTCCGATTTATCTCTTGATAAGACTGTTTATGAGATATGGATTTCATAATTTTTGAGCCTTTGATCATATTACGATTAGACCTGTTCAAGGGTTGAGTTACCTGTTTAAGCTGGAATGTCCATTCTTTTCAATATCATTTTAGAAACTTCCCGTAATTGGTATTTAAAACATCGAATGCTTGTTTGGGTCGAATCATACCTGTTCCTTTTGCATTTGAACAACAGATATGGAGGAGCGCCGAAGATTCATCTCTGCTTATCTGGCATCTTCTGGTTCGTTCCCATTACTGCAAACTGTATAGAAAAGTATAAATAGTCTGAATACTATAGTGAAGTATTTTTCGTTTAAACGAAGTCCGATTATCTGGCATAAATATACCATTATCTGCACTTGCTATGCCTTGACATTTATATGTTGAATTGGTTTTAAAATACCAGTTTGGCTGGATTGCATGCATGCAGGAAATGAACTCATTGATGCCAAAGTGGAGCAGCTACTCATCGATGCCGAGAAATACACTCTTGCTAATCGTTTGTTTTGGGGCTTATGGGGAATCATATCGGTAGGTTTTACTGCAAACCCTTTCACCGTGTTACGGAGAAATATTTTTGGACCGATCAGCTTATGGTGTGTACAGGGTCATGTAAGCAAGATAGACTTCGACTAGTTGGAGTATGCGCGGCAGAGGATTCAACAATACTGGTTAACAAATCCCTTGCTCTTGGGTTCCTGACTTTGTAGCCTTAAAATGCAGCCATAGATTTGTACAGGTTATGTAGTAGTACAAACCTAGCCTGTCCATGGTGTCCTATCTCTCTTACTCGGACTCGGATGTGTTAAATATTGATGTATTAGTGTGCGGTATGGGCATGTTAAATTTGTTCTAAAGTTTTGTTATGTATGTAAAGGTACATTTCTTTTCAGTTTGTACCTTTAACTATTTTTTTAATTTTTTTTCTTAAACCATCTTTTTTTATTTTTGTTTATCTAAAAGTATAAAAGTGACCAATAAAAACATGACGGTGTGACATGCCATGCCATTATTTGATGTCGATAATTTTTTAAGTAAACTAAGATAAAAATGAAAGTTAAAGGGTAAGTTAATGATAATTTAGGGATAAAAGAAGAATGAAAATGATGTTCAAAATTTAGGTGATAAAAAATAATTTAAGGGTAAAGTAAAAAAAAAGTTAATTTTAATGAAGAATCCTGGATAAAACCTTTAAAATGGGGGTGATTACCGAAATTCAATCTGTGGTATTTGTGAAGGTTTTAATGAGTAATCAATTGATTAAAATAATTAATGTTTAAATTATGATAATCACTACCATATTGATTAGGGTGAGCAAAACTCGACTCAAAAAATTGATTTTTTCGACTCAAATTGATTTCCGAAAAAATTTCAAGTTCAAATCAATTTATAAAATACAATTCAAATAACTCAAAATTTTTAGTAATTAGTGGATTGATTTTTTAAGTTTGAGTTGAGTCATTCAATTCTATATGATATATGTATATTACATATGAAAAAAATATGAAGAAATATATATGTATTATACATGCTTATAAAAAAAATATTTAAATTAAAATCAAATAATATCATAATATTATAAATATTTACAATTAAATTTAAACAAAAACTCGAAAATTTGACCCAACTCGAATTTTATAAACTCGGCTCTACTCGAAAAAATTTCAAGTCAATTTCAAATTGTAAAATAGAACTCATCAACTCGAATAACTCAAAATCTTTTATTCGATTTGGCTCGATCGATCAATACAAGGTTTTAATAATTTAAACCCAAATTTAACATTTTTATATTATTATTTTTTATATAACTACACTTTGAAAAATCAAGTTATTTATTTATCATAATCTAATCTTAATTAATAATCTTAAGATTTATATTTTTAATATATATATATATTGGTACACTAAAGTTTAAGTCAGGGGTGACTCCTCAATCCATGGCCAGGCATATCTAATACCCAATTATGATTTACATAGGACTTTATAGATTTCCCACGAAGAGTAATGGTGGTGAGATTCAAACTTAACCTTACAAACTCAAATTCTTGAATCCCAATCACTTGTGCCAACACTCGATGATCATATATATATATATAGACACATATATATTTACATGTGACAATGCGGTGTGTGATGCATAAATATGTTCCCAAAAATATTTAAAAAATACGTATTGTCACGCCGTGATGTATAATTGTATAAATACATATTGAAAATTTTGAAAAAAAAATTAAAACGATACAACAAAACATAAAAATATTGAAAAATATATATTGTCATACTACAATGTGTAGGTAGAGTGTTCAAACGGTTAATTCGGCCACCGATTGAACCAAATTTTTATTAACTGATTTTTTTCTTTAACCGTTAATCAAACTGATTTTTTTAAATATTAACGAACTGAACAAAGTTCGATTATTTTGGTCGGTTAACCGAATTAACTAAATTTTTAACATTTTTCATAATTTTTTAATTAGATTAATTTGATTATAATAGAGATATTTTTATTTAGGTTAAAATTTAATTAGGTATTAGTAATTTAATGAATTTAGTGTGGTTAAAAAATAATTGGATCTTAATTTTTAATGGGTTTGAGCTTAAAATATGGATTTATATATATATATATATATATATATATATATATATATATATATATATATATACTATATTTAATATTTAATAATTTTGATTAATTCGGTTAATTAACCGAATTAACTATTAACCGAATATTGGAAAAAAATTAACAATCAATTACCGAACTAATTCGGTGGCTTACCGAATTAATTGAACTAATTCAGTTCGGTCGGTTAATTCGATTAAAACCAAATAGCCCTATAGATATATAAATGTGTATTAAAAGTATATAAAAAAAATTAAAATGATAGAACAAAACATAATAAACCTAATATGTATTAAAAAAGGGTATTATCTTAGTTTTAATTAAAATATACATTATTCTGCAATCTATTAAGATTTAACCTAAGGTAATGCATCGTTAAATTAAAAAAGGTACTACATCGTTAAATAATTAGTTATTAAGATTGCTTGTTTCAAATGATATTCCTGGACTGAAAACATAACAAATCACTCACCTGAACTGATACCCTCCTCGGAAACTTCCTCGTTCTGGATTTCAGCATCGGTATACGTAAGAGCACGCTGTAGTTTCCTCGGACAGAATACCTCAACCTCAGCCATATATACGGCGGTAACAGGGAGATGATCGGAAAGTCTAAACTCTGTCCGCCGATAACTCACTTGCCTCATTCCTTTACCGTTCGAAAGAATGCGGCCACACCTGCATATTAGAAGAATTCATAAGACCAACAAGGGATAAATCTCATAAAATCTCTGCTTTTTAAGGCATTACCATGATGGAGTTCGCCTCCCTGTCTTAGGATCTTCTCCATAGTAGTTCTCCGCATTTACCCGTATTTGTATGTCGGAGCAAAATTTAGAGCACCCTCCGACCATCCGTCGAATGTTCGACCTTTCTGCAGCTCTCGGACAAGCTGTTGTGATTTAAACAGTTGGTTTAAACAGCTACAATAGGCCATCCTTGGAGGTTTCAGAATTCTACCTGATCATGCTTGATTAACTCGGACCAGTCCTCCTTGGAGATGAGCTCCCGTGCTTTGTCATGCGGTAACTTGATACGGTAGTTCAGATCACCCAACCAAATTATTCTTCTGTAAGAAAACAAAACAGGTACATTTATCGAGCTTAATTGAGTCGAGCCGAGCCTGCTTTCGAATACCAACTAAGAATTTAACAATCTCAACAACTAGAATGATAGATGAGTAGATGGCACCACTAATACACAGTGAAAGTGTTACTTACTCGTGATCATGAATGACTTTGGGAAGTCCAATTGAAGAATGAAAATGAGTTCGTTTTAGTATTTCATGCACATCAGCATTTCTTTTGTGTTCATCTCCGTCTTTTTCTGCTGCTGTCAGGTGAGTGCATATGAAACAAAACAGTGTTTGATATATGGACATGCTGACTGATACAGATCCCTGTAAGATTAATGAATCACCAGCTCAATACAGCAGAAATTCATTTCTTTAGAAGAACAAAGAAAGCAGAATCAATTAACCATGTTACTCTGATTCTTCATTTTTGTTGAAAAAAATTAGCACTACGAGAAGGAAACCTTGTTACCAATGTAGCCCAAGACGCCGACACCAACAGTGGACACCTTGAGATGATGCATATGCCGGCGCAAACTCCGACAAACCCATATCGAGAGGAAAATTCCAACCATCTGAATATATTAATATCTAAATCATATGTGGTGGATTATAATATTAAAATAAGCCACATAATCACACTGTAAATGAGATAACGGCCGAGAGACTAAAAAGTTTAATGTCTAAAGTCTAATAAACAAATTAAAAAACTTGAAAGTATGGTGCGTAAAATAGAATAAATAGTAAAGTTTAGTGATTAAGCATGTAATTTATCATTTTCTATATGTTAGAATATTTAATAAGAAAACGAACTGAGGTAACGTGTTTTACTTGAATAAACAGTAGTGTCCCCGGCTAATCCTCTCCATCTATACTCACACCAGGTCAATGGCTGATCTTCCAATCAGATTCGGAATCATCGGGTGTGCCGAGATAGCCCGCAAGGTCTCTGGAGCCATACAATTTACTCCAGACGCCACTCTCTCCACCGTCGACGGCCGCAACGTCGAAAAAGCCGCCAATTTCGCCAAGGCCAATGGGTTTCCACCTGAGGCCAAGATCTACGGTTCCTACGAGTCCCTTCTAGACGACCAGGACGTCGACGCCGTTTATTTGCCTTTACCCACTAGCCTCCACCTCAAATGGGCTGTATTGACGGCATATCCTAACGGAGAAGCCCGTGGCCTTGAACGTTGCCGAGTTTGATCAGATTCTGAAGGCTTGCTAAGAAAATGAAGTTCAGATTATGGACGGCACGATGTGGGTGCATAATCCCAGGACCCACAATAAGAAGGAATTTTTATACGATAAGGAGCGTTTTGGTCAGCTTAAAACGGTAAATATTTACTGGGTTTCAGCATAATTTTAAAATTTTATTTTATTTATGTAGTTAGCCAGTTTCCAGTTGCACCACACAAGCTCAATTTAAGAATCACCTTAGGACCTTGTAGTTGTAGTAATGCCTCATCTTTATAAATAAGCTAGGCTATAAAACGGCGTCAACTTCTTGAATTCTATGAATCTCTTGAACTGTGGATTTGGTTATTACCTTTATATAAATTTAGCAATTAGTCTTACTTAGAGTCGTCAAGGGTTCAAAAGCGCCTCAGATCCTTTCAGGTGTTTTTTTGCAAGGCGATAGGCATAAAAAAGAGAAAATCGTCTCAGTGACCAAAAATACCTTATAATATACGATTTTAACCAACTTTTTTTGGATTTGCCAAAATGACCAACAAAATCGCAACGCGAAATAAAAATCGCAACGCGATCCCCAGAATCGCAAATCAGTTTCCAAAATCGCAACGCGATTCTTGAAAATCGCAATGCGATAGTACAAATTCGCATTGCGATTTTCCAGAATCGCAACGCGAATATGAAAATCGCAACGCGAACACATAAATCGCAACGCGTATCCGTAAATCGCAACGTGTATCCGTAAATCGCAACGCGTATCCGTAAATCGCAATGTGTATCCGTATATCGCAACGCGTATCCGTAAATCGCAACGATAATACATAAAATCGTAACGAGAATCCGTAAATCGCAACGCGATATTTAAAGCGCCATTATAATCGCTACGCGTATTTTATTTTCAAATTACAAAAACGAATATTAAGACAAAATCCCGTAATCGCAACTCATAACCTAAAACCTAAAATCATAACTCAGTCCCATCTCCATCTCTCACTCTCTACGGCGAAATCTGTCCCCATCTCCGAAGATTTCCGTCCCCATCTCCGGCGAAATCCCTCACAACCATTCACGGTCAGAAATCCCTCACAATATTCAGAAATGGAAAATCAACCTCCGAGGGTTAGTTTTTTAATTATTTTTTTTGAAATTTTTGCATTATTGTAGGTTTTTCATATTGAAACTGATGATAAGTTTACTGGTCATTTCAATAATAGATTACCATTTCACTTAGATTTCATTTCGCGTTACGATTCTCTCGTTGCGATTTTCATTTCGCGTTGCTTTTCTCTAGTTGCGATTTTCAAGTTAGTATTTGTCTTTGTCTTTGTTCTGTCTTTTGGTTGAAGTAATGCAATCCATTCAAGTTTCAATTTGCAGAAGAGTCGCAACGAGATAAATGAAAATCACAACGAGAGAATGACTGTCGCAACGAGAGAAATGAAAATCGCAACGAGAGAATCGCAACGCGAAATGAAAATCGCAACGAGAGAATCGCAACGCGAAACCAAAATCGCATTGCGATTTCATTTCGCGTTACGATTCTCTCGTTGCGATTTTCATTTCGCGTTGCGATTCTCTCGTTGCGATTTTCATTTCTCTCGTTGCGACAGTCATTCTCTCGTTGCGATTTTCATTTCAACCAAAAGACAAAACAGTGTTGCAAATTTTAGTTTCAAGAATAAACTACTACTTTTATGTTATTGTTTTTGGTATATCTTCACAGTGTAGTTTTTGGTATATCTAACTTGGTATGTTTATTGTTTTTGTAGAAATTTTTTTCGGCTTCATTGACATTAAGGAATAAAGTTAGCCTAGCTACTACAATTGCTTCGAAGCTTTCACCTGCTCAAAGACAATTGTTTGAGGAAACCTGCTTCGGGCCATGGCTGAGAGTACAGCATCCGGGTGGAGATGCTAATTTGACCCATTTGTGGCTTAGACCATGACATCAAATCTACCCGACAGTATACAACGTGGTGAGGAAGAGATATGGTTTCATTTTCCACCAGCGTATACTTGTTTTGGGCGGAAGGAGTTCTGCTTAATCACTGGTCTACGATTCGGACACGATGATGTAGGCCGGTACACTCGTCATATCGCCCGCCCATCATGGTTATCCCGGGTTTTTCCGGATGAGTCAATGGAGAAGCCGAACCTACACGTCGACGACCTGAAGAAATTGTTTAATAAGAAAGCTGGTTTCACTCGGATGGATGACGTCGATGTTGTCCGAGTATGCCTTCTACTACTGTGTAGCCGGCTTTTTAGGCAGAGAGGCCAGACAACCTATTCCTCGGGAGCTAATAATATTGGTAGAGGACCTGAATGCATGGAATCTGTTTCCGTGGGGTTCGTATATATGGAAAGCTACTGGACTAAGTTGTCTACTGCCTTTGATGACCGCAAAAGTTTGCGTGGCGATGGGTCGAAATACACTTTGTCAGGCTTTGTTTGGGCCTTTAAGGTAAGAATTTCTATATAATGTTTTTAAAAATAATTAATTATTTAACAATTACTAATTTTGTTATTATATTGTTTGTAGATTTGGATATTCGAGGCTTTCCCCAGCATGCGTACATATGCAATAAAAACGTCAAATGATATTCCCAGGGCTATTTCCTGGAAGAGGAAAACTCTGTTGGATTGGGAAGACTTAATACCATATGCGACAATAAATAATGTAAGTTAACACAAATACTTTCATATAATATATAAACAAGTTATTAATAGTAGACGTTTAACTTTGTTTGAGTTTTTATATTTTAGGAGGCCAACATTCCATTACAAAGACTGACACACACGGAGGAAGAGCTTGCCACTGATTGGTGGCAAGCTAGTCAGAGTTTTTTTTGATGGCACGGATGATGAGCAGCATCCACTTCCTCCAATTCGAGAGCCATCACCTCACCTAGAGCCATCACCGATCGACCCGACTATACACCTCTAGAACGAGAGCCATCACCTATCCCGTCATATCATCGAGCCTCTTCTCCACCATCACCTCATGATAGGCGACCGGCAAAGATACCACGACTCCTATCTCCCTGTTCTCCACCTCCACCTCCACGGGATGAGTCAAGGGAGTTACGTGATGAGGTCAATGTCTTGCGTGAGGAGATCGGTACTCTACGCGATAACGATGGTGCATGGCGTGTGGATGTGTCAACTTTACGTGGTGAGGTTGCCGCTCTACGTGAGATGATAGTATCGTTGCAGAATGAGGTTCATACTCTACGCAACGAGGTAAGTTTAAGATTTTCCATATTTAACTTAATGATAATTTACTCGTAATTTCACTTAGATTAGCCATTTCACTTAGATTGCTTAGTAAATTTATTCGGTTGCTGCCAATTCTGCTAAACTGTGTATTCTTTAACACTGTGAAATAGTATTTGTCTTTGTTTTGTCTTTTGGTTGAAAGTAAATTTGTTCGGTTGCTGCCAATTCTGCTAAACTGTGTATTCTTTAACACTGTGAAATAGCATTTGTCTTTGTTTTGTCTTTTGGTTGAAAGTAAATTTGTTCGGTTGCTGCCAATTTGCTAAACTGTGTATTCTTTAACACTGTGAAATAGTATTTGTCTTGTTTTGTCTTTGGTTGAAAGTAAATTTGTTCGGTTGCTGCCAATTCTGCTAAACTGTGTATTCTTTAACACTGTGAAATAGTATTTGTCTTTGTTTTGTCTTTTGGTTGAAAGTAAATTTGTTCGGTTGCTGCCAATTCTGCTAAACTGTGTATTCTTTAACACTGTGAAATAGTATTTGTCTTTGTTTGTCTTTTGGTTGAAAGTAAATTTGTTCGGTTGCTGCCAATCTGCTAAACTGTGTATTCTTTAACACTGTGAAATAGTATTTGTCTTTGTTTTGTCTTTTGGTTGAAAGTAAATTTGTTCGGTTGTTGCCAATTCTGCTAAACTGTGTATTCTTTAACACTGTGAAATAGTATTTGTCTTTGTTTTGTCTTTTGGTTGAAGTAATGCAATCCATTCAAGTTTCAATTTGCAGAAGAAATAGTTTACTTTCGCAACACGAAACTTAAAATCGCAACGCGAAACCAAAATCGCAACGCGAAATGAAAATCGCAACAAAAGAATCGCAACGCGAAATCAAAATCGCAACGACAAAATCGCAACGCGAAACCAAAATCGCATTGCGATTTTCATATCGCGTTGCGATTCTTTCGTTGCGATTTTCATTTCGCATTGCGATTCTGTCGTTGCGATTTCATTCGCGTTGCGATTTTGGTTTCGCGTTGCGATTTTTGTTTCTCGTTGCGATTATCATTTCGCGTTGCGATTTTAAGTTTCGTGTTGCGAAAGTAAACTATTTCTTCTGCAAATTGAAACTTGAATGGATTGCATTACTTCAACCAATAGACAAAACAAAGACAAATACTAACTTCAGGGTATTAGTTTGAAACATATTTTTCTTTGTTATCTGATGCATTTTGTGAACTATGATAGAATAATGACTTGGGTGAATACAATGCAAGTTTGAAACATATTTGTCTTTGTTTTCACTGTTTAAATATCATGTCTGTTTATTTACTGATTTTGTATTTAATTATTTAGCGGCCCGATAGAGTGGATGCTTTACGTCGGGTTATGCTTGCACGACGGAGTTCACGCATCAGACAGCGTGCACGTGCTATTAAGTCTCCGTACACCCCAATAGTGCGAAGACACCGCAAGAAGAAGCCCGACTGTCATCCCTCAAGAGTCCACTCCTATCGTTGAAGAGGCCCCCTACATTCCTCGAGAGTCCCCTCCCCCGTTCAAGAGGCCACTGTCATCATTGAAGAGGTCCCTCCCACCATTCAAGAGCCCGATTCACATGGCGTCATATGTAGGCTTCTTGAGAAACCCTGACGTGCCGGACATGATGGATTCAAGTTGGCTCTCGTATGAGTTACCGGCCAGTACCATACCGGTATCTGAAGAGGAGAGGGAACAACTACCGGACACAATTCTGGATAACACCCTTTGGGCTAAGACCGCAGTTGATTTT